GGGGCAAGGGACAGGGGTTAGGTCACTTAACTCTCCCTCTGCCTGCTCTACTTACCACCTGCCCTCTAGCAGCCATTTCTCTGCTGCAGCCATGGGAGGGATGAATTTAAGATGACCCTCCACTAATTAGATTCTAGACATGGAAAATTATAACAAATGTAAATACACATTTTCCATGTCTAGCATCTAACTGTTTTGGGGTCGTCTTAAATTCAAAGTTATTCTGAATTTGGGTAAATGCAGTATGTAAGTCCATATGTAGCAGAGGCTGTTTTCTTCTACATTACATTTTGTAGCTATGAAAACCCAGTATCAAATGTTTGATTTTTAAGGTAAATTGCAACCTTTTAAATAAGAAATGTCCATCTCCTTATATTGCAAAGACCTCACATGTGCTCTTGCCTAATTGAATCCTGTGTTGCAGAAAAAAGCTGGGACGCTGTCTTAGCTCACATTGATCTATGAGCTGTGCATTTTAAAGCCTATATCAGACCATTTACGTTCTTTTTCTTTAAAATGAACACTACAAAAAGAGGAAATGAAATACAGAAAAATTAAATAAATGCCAACATTTAAATGCATTGGCACAGTTGCACAGTTAAAATCATAAATGCTCAGGCAATTTAGTAGTTAAATTTCTATTAGCAGTATTAACCTGACTGCATCTCATTCAATTCTTTATTTTTCCTGGTGAAATGTGCATCTCAATATATTACATTTTATGACTAATAGTACCATTAAACACAGTAGCTAACACTGCTATGGAAATCTTAATTTCTGACTACTTGCAATTTTTTTTGTTAACTGTGCAGAGTTTTAATGGCATTGACACAAATCTGAATTTATAATGAACAATTGGTGACTATGTTTTGGGACACTAGCAATAAAGACACTTTAGCAATAAAGATCTTTCACAAAAATAAAGTTGTTAATATGGGAAGCATAATTGGACTACAACTGCGTAGAGTACAGAACGATTTCTTTTACATGGCATTTTCAAGCTGAAGTATCTGTCAAAAGAAAATCTCTCTTAGATAATCATAATAAGTATTTCAGCAGAAAAAAAGATGTAGTGGGAATCCAGCAGTGGAGGGATAGATGTCCTACTTAAAAGTAATGGCTTCAGTGGGAAGAAAAGAAAAAACAATAGCAATCAGAAAAAAGAAGTATGGTAAACTTATGATCTGTCCTAGAATCTCCATATATATATTTTAAGTGAAGAACTTGTATAATCATTTGTCTACCACCTCCTCCTCCTCAGAGGTGACCATACCTGTAGGAAAAAGAGGGTATAGCTTATAGTTTACTTGTGCCTTGGTAATGATTAGTTGCTGTAATTACATAGTTTCATCATCAGTATCCTTTGTAACTGACAGCTGTTTCAATTTATATTCGAGTGCAGACTGATATGCGGGTGACCTAAGATTAGGAGAAAACAAAAGTGACTTGAACTGTTCCATCCCTGACCAGCACTCTGCACTCATCAGTTGCAGAGATGGCTAAAGGAGAAATGTTCTTTTGCATTCAGGGAACAATAACTGGTCCCCTTCCTCCTTTACTATATGTCTCTCATCTTTGTTCCTTTTCCTATACTCAGAATACTGTACATTTTAGAAATGATATAGTGTATTTCCTTGCATACCACATGCCCCCAAATAAGATGCACAGCTGGTTTTTGAAAAAGGGAATGAAGAAAACAAGATATTTCCTTAAAAATACCAATACTTAAAAATGTTCACAGGGAAAATGCAGGCAGCTGCAGTGGGGAGGGGAGCAAAAATCTGTGGCTGCTCTGTTAACTCCCTTGCTGCAGGAGGCTGCAGGCACTACTGGATAAGCCAAATTGCCTGGCCCCTCTGCTGAAGCTGTAGCCAGGGCCTGATCCTAGTCAGCAGCACCTACAGAGTCATCTGAGGGTCCACTCAACCTGAGAAGAGGGGCCAGACAGTTTGGCTACAGCAGGATTAGGCCCTCAATTGATTCCACAAGTGATGCTGGCTGCCCACCTGGCTTGAGAAGAGGAGCTGGGCAGTTTGACTCAACCAGCAGCATCAGTCGAAGGCCTAATCTTGCTGGAGATGAACTACCTAGCCTCTGTACTTGAGCTGGGTAGGCCCTCATCTGATTTGGCAGGGCCCACCCAGCAGGAGAAGAGGGTTTGGGCAATTCAGCTTCAGCAGGATCAAGCCCCTTGCTCCCTGGATATACTTGTTTAAGATGCACATCCAAATTCCACAGGAAAAATGGTGTATGTTGTATTTGAGTAAATATGGTAGCATAGGTCTGTTAGAACTCTGCTGTAATTCAGGGACTGAATTCAAAGAGGATAGTTTTGTATTGCATCTTTCCTGCAGCAGCTACCCTCTTGCCCATCAGATGGGAGCCACTTATAGGAGAAAGCAAGTAGACAAGTCCAGAGGTTCAGTTTAATTGGAGCTAGAGCCTCACTTGTGGAAGCTGCAGTCAGTATGTGCTGATTAGGCATTTTTATAGACGCCTTCAACAACACTTCCTATTCAGTTAGTATCTCCTATTTTTTGCACGGTGTCAATCTCCCCAGAGCAATTTGAAGCTGTTATCGCAAACTCCTTAGTAGTAAACTTTCCACAGACACCTATATCTCAACTCTGCAGCAGTGCAAGGGTATCTTTATATGAATAAATGAAGCATATACCTAAACCATTTTAAAAAAAACAATATATTTTATGATATGACAGATTTAATTCTGCCCTTACGTGAAGCAGCCCTGTCAACATTGGGATTCAAAGGGGTCAGAATTATGACAGAACTTCACCCAAGAACTTATGCTATGGATTACTTTTGTTTTTAGGGGGAATATAGATTTTGATACCCATATGCCACTTTTTTTTCCTTTAGCATTTCCAATCTGGGCATGTTTGGCATCAGTGGCTTCATTGCTGTCATAAACCCGCCTCAGGCCTGCATTTTAGCTGTGGGACGAGCACGGCCTGAACTCAAGATTGTTGAGGATGAAGAAGGGAATGAGAAACTTCAGCAGCATCAGCTCATGACAATGACACTGTCGAGTGATGGTCGGGTAGTAGATGATGAACTGGCTTCAAAGTTCCTGGAGACCTTGAAAGCAAACATGGAGAATCCAATGCGACTTGCCTTGTGTTAAAATGAATAATAAATCAGTTTCTGGATTGGCAAAATATGGAGCAAAGTTACAAAAAAAAATTACAGTCCATTAGGACATAAATAGTTAATGTGAGATGGACAAATAAAATATTTAATTTATTTGAATTAACTTGAAAGACTCTTCAAAACCATCTTTTTGACCATTTCCAGCTCTCAAGTTTTATACAAAAGTTGAAATACTTTAAAGAAATATAGAAATAATGTTGACATATTAAAGTTCTTTAAAAGTTTAATATCAACTGCACAAGATATTTAACTGTACAGGTTACTGTTTAGTCATAGAAAATAGTTTGGGACTCTTATAGGGAGGTTAGTGTGAGAATATTGTGTGAAATGTAAGGGGGAATGTGACAATGCTTGTTTAAGGATTTGCTGTCCTTTCAAAGTGAGAAAATAAAAAGCATCACTGTGTGAAATGTCCCTATAAATTCTAATCAGCGTTAAGTTGGCCAAACTATCCATTTTAGCTGTATGTTTTAGCTTCTTAATATGCAAAGAAATCTATAGCTAAAAGCTGCTGTCAGAGTTGGATTGTGTCAACTTCAAGTTCTCAGAGATTTTGTTGAAGATCTTAACAAAATTCTGGGACAAAATAAGTTGCTTTGGTCTGTTGACATGGTGAAATAGAAGTTACTTTTGGTTTGGTGGAATAGAAGTTACTTTTGGTTTGGTTTACATTACAGAATTTACACTTCTTCCATCGTACTCTGAGCTTTCCCTCATCGGGCAGGAAAGAAATGCTGCTGGGTAAAGACCAAATCACATGAAGAATATAAATATTGATATTCAAAATAAAATAATAAATAGTGACACCACAGCTAGATTTGAAAATATGCATACTTGTATATTAAATAAAAACATGTTTGAATTGTGCATGTGTATGTGTTCTACACCATTTTAAGATTTCTATTGGTCTCCTCCATCTCTTGTGAGGTACTAGCAAACATGCTGCTTACCAGAAATAAAATCCTGACCTCATTGAAGTCAATTGAAGCGTTGTTGTTAACTTCAAAGTTGCCAGGATTTCAGTCCATATATTTTTATTAATTGAAAGCCTTGTCTGTAATAAATTGTGAAGACAATACTGTAATGATTTATTCAGTAAAAAGGAATTGTGGGATGCATTAAATAATTTAGAAGTTGCCCCATGTCAAAAAGCTTGCTTCAGTGTCACAGATTATAATAACGATTTTTCAACTGTTTCATGGCATATTAGCTGGAGGGTAAACTTCAATGAGCTACGGAGGATAGTTGGGGAAGCGCTGAGGTCCCAGAGGGGAGGGGAGCCAGGTGTCCAAGGAGAGTGGTCGCTCCTTAAGGAGACGATCCTCCAAGCCCAAAGGAAGGTAGTCCCAACGAGGCTCAAAGGGAGCAGGAGGGCACACAAGCCTCCATGGCTCACCAAAAGCATCCGGGAATGTCTCCTTGCTAAAAGGGAGGCGTACACCCAATGGAAATAAGGGGTCATCACTAGGGATGACTATACTGCAGTCGCTCGGGGATGTAGGGAGGCAGTCAGGAAGGCCAAGGCAGAGATGGAATTAGGACTAGCTTCCCAGATTAAGGACAATAAGAAGTCCTTCTTTAAATATATAGGGGGTAAAAAGAAGGTCCCGGGTAATGTGGGGCCCCTGCAGGATGCGTTGGGAAATTTGGTCGTCACACCAGACGACAAAGCTAATATGTTTAATGATTTCTTTGCCTCCGTCTTCCTAAGTAGG